AGTTTATTTATAATCCTCGTATTAATGTTATGTCTGTCTCTATTTTTCAATCAAATATTACAATTTTTTGGACACAAATTATATTTTCATAAATGTACTGAACAGGTTTCTTTCGGCCGACTTGATTATTATCTTGCAAGCTCGTGTCAAGAGAGTATCATAAGTACAAAACCCAACGGTGCATACGTGTGCGATACCCTGATATCAATTGGCAGAGAATGCAATTGTGTCACTCTACACGTCATTATGCATTCCATTAATAACTGCAGCAGGATAATGCCTTCCGGGTACCCTCCCACACGAAGCAGGTTCGTTCCGAGAAGTGCAAGATTATAATATGTTCAATTTACTGAGTAGCATTCTCCTATTCATTTCATTGCAGCTTTATTGGCAACAACCGCCATATATATCCATATAAGTTAAGGATTATGCGGAAAATCCTATAGAAACTTAGACAGGGGGTACCAATTTCTTAGGTTTTCGCGATTGTTACACATAGGACATGAAACTTAGTAGGTAGGTAGGTGGTAGGTAGGTGGTAGAGATTCGCTCGGCTAGCTGGTGCCCCCTTACTACGTCCGGGAATCAAACGACGAAATTTGGTGAAGAAGACTTGGTTTAATGTACAACAGCATACAATACAAGGGTGTCCAATAAAAGGGATTCGTCCGCGATAAGTCCCGGTGGGTGCGAATTTTACTAAAAGACGATCACTCAGAGATGTTCTCGTAACCTGTACCGAATGTTTCCGCTTAACAGTGAGGATAACTGTAGAAATGCAGTCGTTGAATCGATCAATTTCATACAACATACTGGTGACAGGTCATTACTTTAGGAAAAATCTTAAAACCGCGATTCACAAATTTTTTTTCTACGCCAGTGTCATCTAGCGGTAAACTTCGGAACTGTTTTCACTAATATTGCCAAACTTATTGCGTTACAATTTCCCCTCTGGCCCCGAAGACGTCCCGACAAGAGGGCCAGAAATAAAGTCATCTAGAATGAACTATATTACAAACTGTTTTTTTCGGTTGTAAATCGCTTATACCTGTTTTTTCAAACAAATGAACGTTCCGGCCCTTTACAGGACCCATGGTCACAGCTGAATGAAACGTTGGTACGTTGGTTTGTTGGAAAAAATAAAATATACACGCAATTTAGATTTAGATTAGAAAATAGTTTCATTTCCTATTAGATAGAGGGTGTTAGGCTCAATTTATATTGCGGCAGAACCGAATGGAAGCGAATTTTTGTAACGAAATTGTTACATAGCATAATGAACTTTATGGTCAGTCTTGTAACGTACAAACTAGATACGAGCCAAAATCTCCTCGTAAATGCTCGCGCATTCCGCAGAAGATTTTAGCTCGTATCCAGTTTTTACAAGTCAAGAGCACATCAAGCTTGACACTTTGGGCCGTTCTTATTGCAAGCGGCGTAGAGTTAAATTTAAACCTTTAGCGTCAAGCTTGACGTGCTCTTGACCCTGTATGTTACACAATTGACAATAAAGTTCATTATGCTATGTAACAATATCGTTCCTAAAGTCGCTTCCACTCCGTTCCGCCGCAATATAAATTGAGCCTTACAGCCTCTATAAACTGGCAAGGACGTTCTACATCGCCTGGTTTATCGGTCCTTAAATTGAGTGACGCCCCATAAGAAGATACATTGTGATCAAATTACTAAACAGAATCTTTAGATCCCTGAAAAATAATGTAAAAAAAAAGTGTTTTCGCTTCTGTATACGAGTATACAACTTTTAACCTTTTGATTTTCGATAAAAGGACTTCTGCGAATTCCACCCAGCACTTCTAAGTACAACCCTTCCTTCGTCAGCAAAATTTACGTCGTCTGTGTAAATAGAAATTTAGTCTTTAGTCTGTGTTAATAGAATTTATTTAGAGATAGGGGAGTGTCTGATGATGTCTATCTTAACAATTCAGACGGAACTTAGGCCATAATCACCAGCAATGTGATGAAAAGATTTATGACACCAAATTTTGCGGTAGCAGCAAAAATATAAAGCAACTGTGAAACAGATTTCCTCGTACTGGTGGCCAGTTAGCTACCCACACGTGTCGAGATGCAGTTCTACGAAGCACAAGGGTTAGGCTAGGTTATAACGATAATAGGTCCTATTTAAATGGATATATTGTTCAAATGCCCTGATAATGAAATGCTTTAAGTTACTATAATGAGACCGATGTATCTAAACTAATTAACATATGTATATTTCGTTCCGAAGCTCAGTTGGGAGAGCGATAGCACCACCACCATCAACTCCTTTCAGACGAGGGTTTAGGCCATTGTCACGCTGGCCCAATACGGGTTGGCGACTCACACGGTTATCCGAGGGTTGTGAACCTTCTTCAACGTGCAGGTTTCATCACGATGTTTTCCTTCACCGAAAAGCTCATGATAAATTTCAAATTAAACTTCCGAGATTCGAACCATTAGGCTACCATGGCTTTTTTACCTTTTTTACCACGGGTTTGATTACCCAATAGCGGTTACCTCTCAGTAGTCCGAAATGACATTTTCCAGAAATGCCGTTTGGTGGAAATTTCATAACCTCGAAAGTAATTTTGAGAGGAAAATGTTTTTTCTTTCAAACCTAAATTAACCTAACCTAACCGAACTTAATCGTGTCTTTGCGATAAACAATCAATATATCCTGAAATAACAACTGTTTCGTTATAAATCGGTTTTCGGTGTAACGAAAATTCGTTACTTCGGACAAAAAAATTTTCGAGTTTGTGATAGGTTACCCCCAGTAGGACCAATTTGAGAAATGAACTTTTATGATTTACGGAGCCGATACGTCGACGACACGGCTAGTCCACCAATTTAAAGTCGCTCAGAATGGGCTATACTCGGAGTTTCTCTGAAGGAATAAATTCGTAATAAGGTTATCCGACAGAGAACCATGGTCACAGATATACCTTGTGCAATAAGCAAGCTGAAGTGGCAGAGGGTTGGCCATATCTGTCGAAGAACCAATAACCGATGGGGAAAACGAGTTCTAGAGTGGAGACCGCAACTCGCCAAACGTAGTGTAGGACGTCCTCCGGCCAGGTGGAGTGACGACCTAAGAAAGGTTGCTGGCGGGAAATGGATACGACAAGCTGAGGACCGGGCGACATGGCGCACATTGGGGGAGGCTTATGTCTAGCAGTGGACTGCGATAGGCTGATGATGAGAAATGTACTTTTAAAATGCTTGTGGTCTGGGTGTTCTGGTTAGTGCTTCAAAGTGAGTTCCGTTGCTTTGGTATTCATAACACAAGCTGTTGGATATTTCGTATTTTTGTAGTTTTTAATTTTAAATATTAGGATAAATAGATTCTCGTCAATTTGTTATAATTTTAAACTAGGCTGAATGTACGTAAATCTAAGTCATTTTTTAAGATTTCTCTGCTGTCAACCTAGTCTCTGTACCCTTTGTGCCTTACCTTTGACAATAAACCGCGTTAAATTTTCAAGATTTTTGGTTTTTATTCTAAATGGTAGCCGTGGTAGCCTAATGATTTGACGTACTACCTCTCAAGCAGAGAGTCGTGGGTTGGAATCCGCGCTCGCACCTCTGAGTTTCTCGGAATTTATGTGCGAAATTTAATTTGAAATTTATCGATAGCACGCGTTAAGCAAAAATGTCACTAGTTGAAATGCAACCGGATCGAAGGGATTTTTCTTTTAGTTTGTTCGATCTTTGTCAAACAAACAAACGTTTCGTTTCTCTTTACAGTTCCATGTCGTTTTTTATTGTTAAAATTTGACAAATGAGATTTGAGCCGACAAATGATGTGATGTGAGAGTTTTAGCTAACTCAGGCGCCCCGCAACACTGTACTGCATATTTGCGCGTGTAAATTGTCAAACCAAAAGACTGTATTGCTGCGTGTCGTATTACGTCAAAATAATTTCTATATTTTAAAACTTAGAAGTGTATTTTTAAACGACTTAAAAAAGAGGAGTTTTTTTTAAATTAACAGCACGCGGTTTTTGCACACTCTGCCAAATCTTTCAATTTCAATATAAGGACCACCCGTGTTGATCATGGCAAAATATAGAAACCATTGTTGATAAATCGCACATGAAATCAAATACTGTTGTCACACAAAAATTATGGAATTGAGAAAATGTTTTTAAAAACTGAATCTTTTAATTTATACAGAATAATTAATTATACACTTGTAAATGAAAATATAAATTTATTGATTCCATTCAATATTTTTTTGAATTTTCAAACCGTTTTTTCAATCCAATCATTTGCATAAATACTGTGAAGATCTTGGAAATTTAATCGATTTGTACTCTTTTTCTACTCTAATTAAACTTGAAATTGTACGACTTCGTACAGTTGGGACCCTGGGGTTTGGAAGCTCGGGATTATTCAAATAGTTATGTCGCGGATTCAGAGACAAGAGCTGCGATCACTGACCTAGGTCGTGATTGGTTCAGTTGTTCATAGCCATCCAGCAAGGCAATTCTGCCAGTACAATGCGAACTTTTGTGCCAGCCATGATGCAGAACGGACTTGTTTTTATGTCAGGAATTTTGCCGAAACCCACATTTTGTGTTATATGATTCGAACCCATGACCTCTGCTTGAGAAGCATTAGCCTACAACGGCTTTTTGAAGACATTTATGAAGAATATTTTTATTTAAGTAATTCAAAAATAAGTGCGCATTCCACCTTATGGAAAGTGACGATGAGGTCGACAATGTACCAAGCACACAAGATCCTAGTTATAGCGTTCGGGGAATTTCACTCCCTAGTCACTCGCCATAAATGTGGAATCGAAAGGTTTCGTGCGAATCTTGGGAATATCCACAACATACACATGGAACCCCAGCCCACCTCTAGTCCCCCGATGATATCTATACACTCGCTAAAACGTAAAGGAAAACTAATAGGAGTCGGTCACAGGCTACCTCATTATCATATTACAGTTACAATTCTTACGTGCACTAATGAAATACTTGTCCATCTTTTCAGAAGGCACGGCTGTAGCAAGTGAGCGCGGTGCTGGGTACAATGGTGAAGTCTGGTTCAAGGCGGCCACCATAGCCGTACCTGTTTGCGGCGCGATCATATTATTCGTGTTGGTCGGTGTTGCTGTGAGACTGCTGAAGGCCGACGCCCTGCTGCATGCAGATAGGAAACTTAGGTACTTTTTATAATTTTTTTATGATACCAAGTGCCAGGACCTACAATTGTGCGCCTGATGATAATAGACACGCCCGTCAATAACAGCTCACATATTTTTTCTAAATAAGTTTTGTTTATACTGACCCTCCCTATCGACCTCTTGGTATATACGGAAAGGGCACTATAACCTGTGCAAGCAAGCCCGCACAGGACCCTACTCAGTCCGGTCCTGACCCCAGATCAGTGCCTTGGGTGAGCCGCCCCGGATGCACGTACAACACCCTCCCTATTTTCCAGATAGGTACCGGAGCTGTAAGCACGTCACTTCACTTCACTTCACAGTCACTTCCCGTTGCGCTTAGCGCCATTGTTGCCATCGCTAAGCCATAGACTCTAAGTCAACTACCAAAACTCCTCATTGATGGCGGAGCTGCAAGCCAAGCTCTTTCCCCGGCGCCGAAAAAAGGCGTCTCTCCAGTTAATAACCTGTCCATGACACTTGAAGTGCCACGCAGAACTTTAAATCACGAAAATCGTAGGCATTGCCACTGCGCCCGTCAACCTGAGACATAAGTAACAAGTCTCATGTGCCTATTATTTCACCAAATATACTCGCATCTATGAGTTCAACCTACTAGAACTGAATAATGCAATAAATCACACCCTGGTATAATAAAGCCACATGTGTTACGTCACAAGTTCGTTTATCACATGAAAGCCATATAAGTAATACGAACTAGATGAATGAAAATAATATCGGAAATGAAACTATTTTTCCGGATTTAAATCGCGTATATTTGATTTTTCAAACAAACCGACGTTTCGAGCCGTTTAGAGGTCCTATGGTCACGGTTTGTTTGAAAAAACAAATATACGCGATTTAAATCCGGAAAAATAGTTTCGTTTCCTATGTGTAACAATCGCGAAAACCTAAGAACTCGATAATATCGGAAGTTAAAGTATATCTGAAATTGTATATATTTCCTACAGAAGCATAAAAACCCATTCGTAGAATATTTAAACCTCTGTCCTGAAGAGTTGTCATTTTGCAGATGTGGCCTTATTACACCAAGGGTGCGAAACTTTCCTGAAAACCATGTTAATAAAAGTGGAAATAAAATTTTTAATCGTGTAAAATGGCTGCCATTTTTCGTCCGTGCGCCGAACAATCAAGAACTCTGAGCATACCTTGTAGAGAGGCGAAACACGTGTCACTTTTGTTAGTGGTGTTTGTGACTGTAGTTGCGATTGTATTATTTATTTTATGCGGAGGGAAGGTATCAGACGAAGGACGAGAGCACAGGGCCTGGTCTCAAAATAGGGAATTCCGTTGCTCTGGTACACATAGTATGTGTACCAGAGCAACGGAATCCACTCCGGAGCACTTCCCAGAACACCCAGACCACAACCAATGTAGAAAAATTCATTTTCAAAATTGGTTCTACAGAGAAACGAACCCAGAACCTCCGCATTCAGCGCGCAGAGTGTATACCGTTAGGCCGCCGCCGTAGTCGTCGTGTATGTGTACAAGCGCGTGTTCGCGTTATCTTTGCGTTAGACGAATAATGATGAAGCTATAATTTAAAACTCAAGAAAAAGCTGCTCATCTCACCTGGTCCATTTTTTAATGGATAGAATAGATTATGATGATTATTACTACAAAGATCGAACACGTAGAAACATTTCTTCGACCCGGTGGGACTTGCACCCATAACCATGCTGCACCGTAGCATTGCTCTTACCAACTGAGCCACAGATCAAGGTACCGAGCTGTCGAAATTCTCCTATATGTTCGTCCTGGCTTTCGGCATTCGTCGGCGCTATTGGATAAATAATATTATAAATACGATACACAGAACAACCCTTTATACAACACAATACAAATAAAATCAGAACACCGAAACTTAACAAAACCTTTCTTTACTTCCAGAGGCGGATACATGTCGCCAATAGCACAAAATGCAACAGATGATGTGAAGAAAGTCTGGGTTGGTACGTCAGCCCCTCTTCTAGTAGCCCCTGGGGGGTGTCTTGTTGAAGTAAAACGCGCTCAGCTGGTCGACGGACCCTCGCATCAACAGTTCTGTGATATACAGCGATAGACTGTCAAATTGATAATGGGAAAATCTCATTGGTGGCCTGTATCGTGGTGTGAGGGCAAACAGGTTTTTGTGTGGCAGGAATTTTTGATACAAATGTGCCTTAAATTTATCGTAAAATCAATTATATGTAATGCAAGGTTGTGGATTTTACTGTTTTTTATAAATGGATGAATCTTTTTATAATGCCACAAGGCTAAAATGTAGAAATAGTATTTTCTAAGGATTGTAATTAGGTGATAACTATGAAACGACTGAATTACGGGCCTTTTTAATTTTCAGCAGGTTTTGTTTGTTTTAAAACGCTTTTATTAACACTTATGAATGACGTCGTCGTCAATTAGACATGAGTAGGAAATTTAGTTTTTATTTCTAATACATAATAAAACAATCTTCCCGACCGGCCCGATAGAGAATCTTCTTAATAAAATTGATCTCAAGTTTATTCGCAACCGTCACACCTCGAAACAGCCCACACGCATACCAAAACCAACATTTTGTATATTTAATTTTATTGACTATTATAAGCGCTTTGTGTTCCTTTATCATTGTAAATATTAAAGTTAAGTGTTAAGCTATCTCCTCTTTCATGTAAACGTAATAGACGTCAGTTACCAAACTTGTGAAACAAACTGAATGTGTCGACAAAAACAACAATGCATTTTTATAAACACGCAAGTATTTTTATATGAACATTGTTTTTTGCAGGGGTATACCTTTAAAGCAAAATCTTTTTTATAGATTTACACAACGTTCGTGAATTTACAAGTGACGACAATTGTTTAATACGAAAATATTATTATAAGCGTAAAGATTTGTTATAAAAGTCATCAGTTACAGGCTTAAATATCTAGAATTTAAGTGCACCCAATTAATACTGCATGAATTTCCTTTTCTTCCTTCCTTTTATAAATTATTTATAATTTCCGTAAAGTATAGAGCAACCCAAAATTGTATCATTTTATAAGTGGAAAGAATCATGAGCCCAAATTAATATTACAATCGTTGCTTAAATATGCATTGATATGCAACAGTTTTAAGTAGTTTTTTTTTTCACTATTGCAATAAGGTGCAAGTGAATAATCTTGTTCTGATTAGGCAATTGCACAAACATGGTAGTCTAACGGATTAATCTTCCGCCTCTCTTTTCGACTGCCACTGCACCCATCACCCTGAGACAGAAGTTGTTAAGTCCCCATATGCCTGTAATTACATCAAAATTTTTATTTTTATTTAAGTGTTATCATTGCATAATATATAGCATATCAATGTATTTTTGTCAAATACTTTTGTCAGTTTTATTTTAAACATGTCTCCGATGGACATTATCACATTTTTGGAGATACTCTGTAGCATAGGTTCCCAAACTTTAAACTTTTTTGCCCACTTGGCAAGATAAAACAATTTCCACGCCCGCCACAACAAAAAATAATTGGAAACACGTATTTTTTATATAAACTTAACAGAAATAATCACAATGAAAGAAATATTTATTGGTAGTGTACTTTATATAGGTTTTTTCCAAATGCGTAGCACCCCCTGGACAACGTCAACGCCCCCCATTTGCTTCTGACTCTACCTGGGACGCTTCAGCGCCCACTGTGGGATGGTAGGGACTACGCTCTTATAGAAAGGTACAATCAATGGCACATCAAGTTTGACACTATAAATCGTTCTTCACCTTGTACTACTGTGAACTTGTAAATATTAATGTATAATTTTAAGTTGTTACCCATTGTTAACTATGAATAATTGTATTTAAAAAAAAGGAAGTGCCGATGATTTTTGAAAGTGAAATCTATTGAAAGGATCACCTAGTCCTTTTTTATCTGATTCTTAAGTACTGAATTGTTATTTTTTTTATATTTACTTTTTTTCAAACTTTCAATGGATTTTTCTTATGGTCGAAAACAATTTTGTAATCTATGGTTATGTCGATACTTATTTATGCTTTTAATATTGTATAATGCAAAATGTATTTTGTACATAACTTCGCGCCCTAGACGTAATAATGTCACATCTATACAATTACAACTATTCAGGAGAAAAATTGAAGATAAAAATTGTACGAACGAAACTAGACGTTAACTTTTTTATGCTAAGTTCGTATTATTTTTATGGTTTAAATGTTGTAAAAGCACTTTTGGCGTATATTCACATGTGGCTTTATTATACCAAAGGTACGACTTTAGTTTTAAAGAAATAAAATTGATCAAAGATTCTTTTTATTGTGAATGTTTTTAGATTTTTAAATCCGAAATATGATACATTTGCAAAAGTATTAGATGCCGTAAAATTAAAAACCAGTCATTGGATACCTGTTAATTTCTTCTTAGTTATCAAAACTGCATTTTTCATAATCATACCTGTTTCTCTTATGCAAAAAAACGCTTGTATGACGTAGTATATTTATACAGTCAATGTCCCAAGATGCTTGACTGTCCAGTCGACCTTTTTTTCTGAGAGTTTTCTTACGCATTTATGGCTGAAATTTGTGTTCTGTTTGTAAGTAAGTGTACATTAAAGATCAATTAGCTTCTTAAAACCTTATATACTAGTGATGCAATAGAGAAGTCATACCAAAGTAAATTTTACGGCTCACATGTTGAAGTTTTCTTTTACACTTTTCTTCACATTTGTCTACCTAGAATCAAATGATCGGTTAGGGAATTAGGTATCATAGGGCGTCGACTGTACTGCCAATCATATTACTTGTACACGACGTCATTCAAGCTCTTACGTAATGTAATAAATTTTGTTATATTCAATAACTATTATTATATTTCAAAAGTTCAAGGGAAGAATCTGTTAAATCGTATTTATTTGTGATGATTAGTGCACATCACTAGTACCAACAATATTATTTAACCGGTTTTTTCTTCGACAAAGCAATTTTTTACCATCTCTTCGACCTTGTAACAGAGATTGTCCAATTAAATAATAATAATAAGCTTCCTAAAGGTGCCTTACCTTGTGCGAATTTAGATTTTTACAATTACTATTTAATATATAGGTGCAAATGAATAAAATACTCTATAATAATGTAATGTAATGAATATACCTGCGATCTTATGTACATATTAATTTGTATGTGTAAAAATTATTGAATAAAAAGAAATTATTTTATTACTCGATTGGGTAGTTTTTTATTTAGGAACAAAAGACAGCAACATCATTACGAGGTACAGGTACAAGAGCACGTCAACTTTGACATTTAAATTCAACTACTTACCATAAGAACGGTCCAAGTATATAATATATAATCAGAAATAGAGACGAAATGTCAATTAATTCACATTTACTTTGTTTGAAAACCATTCTGCCATATCATTACTGTGACAACTGCGCTCCGATTGGCTAGCCCGAATTCGAAACAATTGACGGGTGTCGTCAATTGTTCACTTCAAATCGACCAGTTAACTTGAGTTTTGCTATAATGGACGAAAATTGCAAAATTAAGGTCAGGTGGGGTAAGAGAAACACCGGGGGAAGAGGGACTAAAATCCATAATACCTAAAGTAAAGCGTTTAGCACTTTAGTCTCCTGTCGATGAAACAGACAAACAAATTAGTTTTAACGGTTGTAAAGAGATATCGCTACGATGTTCCAAATTTGAGAGAGAGAGAAAAAAAAATGACAGTTGTGTAGTCTGAAAACACGAGATGGACGTGTAATTTTTTTCTTTGCTGGATCTTGGTGAAAAAAAGTGCTGGAGATTATTTTTATACAAAAACACGTAGAAAAAACGGTAAGTTTTACTTTTTGTTAGTTATTTCAGACCAAAAACAACAAATTATACGAGTTTCATTGGAAGTTCTAACCGCCAAAAACACTGTTGGAGTATATTTAATTATATATTTAATTACCGATGAAATTTGATACCGTTTGTTTTAACCGACTTCAAAAAAGGAGGAGGTTCTCAATTCGACTGTGTTTCTTTTGTATGTATGTTACGCGATAACTCCGGTATTTGTGAACCGATTTTCATGATTCTTTTTTCGTTGGAAAAAGGGTAACTCCATAGTGGTCCCATTTAATTTTGAAAAAAATCATCCACCTCTAAGGGTAGCTGTTCACGCATGAAGATTCATTTTTATAAATAGCGCCTAAATTTATTATAAGGAGCAATAATTTCAATTTTTGATTTTGCTATTCTCCAATTCAAGGCGTTTTTTTCTCTCAATATACTTTGAGTAGTGAGCACTGATTTTTATTATCTCCTGTGTCAAGTCCCGTGTAGTGGCGAACTAGGGGATGAATCCGAGTTTGCGCACTTTCCGATAACCGATTTCAATAAAACTTGGTAATTATATGTAATTCCACATAAATGAAATAATGAAATAATGAAATAAAGTTTATTTGCACTGAATAGGGTTAGTATACAGGATGGTAGTTTACTTTTAGCATACTTTTGAAGTCGGTTTTTTTAGTACTCTGTACTGAGATTATATTATGTAATTAGATGTTTGCTGTTTTTCCTCACACCACCAAATGACAGCACGCCATTGTTAGAGATATTATCTTTATTACAACAAATACAGAATATTTTTGGAACAGATACGTCCTTATCCCATGGGATAACCACGCTAGGTGAGGTCGACACAACAGCTGACTCAATAAATTGCATTGAATCAATAATTTTGGATAAAATGTATAGTAAAATTGCGGATATATACTGATGACTATATGATGTGAAAACTCAATTCCTAAACGTTTTTTAGATAGAAAAAGTGAGCATTAGACTTTACTCTCACTGGATAGAAAGTGATGATGAGATCGATGATGGAACATACACACCTAAGAACAGCTTATTCACTCTCATCTTGATAAAACTCAAGTTAGAACGTTCAGGGAATAAGTCTGCAGGCAGAGAATTTCGCTCCATAGCCGTTCGCCATATAAATATGTAAGTGTAATGCTTCGAGTGAATTCTTGGAATATCCACAACAAGTTCAAATTATCATATCATGTGTTATAAATCACTATAATGAAGTGGTGTGGTTTACATAGTCAACTTCTACACCACTAATTTGTCCCAGCCCAGCCAGCCCTGACATAACTACGTCATAAAACTTATTAAATATTCAATGTTTATAATTTTAATATTTAAAGTAGGTACAACGTGACACTAATTAAATGACGGATATGTCTCAATATTAATATTTTTACGACGTCCGCTACTTTGATCAGATATTTATCGTAGAATGTTACGTTCTATCTTCGTTTGCATTTGTGGATGTAAGAGCGATGCCACACGGGCGCTGCGTTACATCGTCGCAACGCTATGGTTTCAACCATGGTTTCAACGCACCGAGTGAAATCCAATAAACCGTATTCATCGCCTAATGTAATGTCTTAGAGGTGGTTTATTTTGTCAAATTTAAATGTAACCACTAATGAGGTTTCCAGCAAAAAGAACCATCGAAATCGGTTCACAAATGCAACATACAAACAAAAAAATACAGCGAATCGAGAACCTCTTCCTTTTTTACAAGTCGGTTAAATTAAGAACAGTTTTATGTCCATTTTATTAGTAATTCATTTTAAAAGAGTACATTTTTGTTTAAATTACATGTACACTCACACGACTATGCCTAATTACACATCGTAACATTGTGCATACTTATATGAGTACATTATTATCTGTACGTGAGAGGCGAAGGACCTTATGTCCATATTTTGGAATTTAGATGTTTTTACAAATATTGCAATAGAACCCTAAAACACAGTAAGTTCTATCGTCGTTTGTTTTTTATTAAATTTTTTAAATGTCTAATTAAGAGCCTCAATATCTTTAACATGTTTTGGAGTAAAAAAAATAATATTTGAGAAACTTTAGTTGTTCACCTTGATTACATTAAGAAAGAGGATGACATAAATAATTTCAAATAGATGATAATCAAAATGTTAAGAAAACTCGATTGAAACTTATTTAGATCAGAATGTGGTGATAAAAACTATATTTATAAAATTATATAAATACGAGCACGTAAACGTAATATACTATTTTCATTTCGCGGTTGTGTAGTGAACTTTAAAAAGGACCTTTTATTTGCAGCTCAAGTGTGAAGGGTAAGTTTACTATGTGTTTACATCGCACTGCTATAACAATAGTGTTATAACTCAAATTATGTGAAATTCAAGATTATTTGCAATGGTTGAAACTTGTCAAGGATAGTGTTCCTGGGTACTGAAAAGAAGTAGTTTTTTGGAAAAAGATTTCCAAAAAACTACTTATTATTAAAGAAATATTGAAATCTGTCAACAATGTAGCTTTTATTCTATATTATATACTGTATCACTCATATGTCTTACTTTTTCCTTGTTACTTTAAATTCTCTATTTATTTGGTATTTACAAGTCTTATTAAGAGCTTCTACTAAAAAAACGCAAGCTCTAACAAAACTAGTCGGACCACTTCTGACTAAAATATTACGCGGGTAAGTCCCGTTACTTTTATGCTGTAATTAGTTAATGAACATATTTACATAGTTCTAACTTGTATAAAAATGCTTATTTAATACTATTGGTCATAAAAATCCTACATAAACGGAATAACTAATTACTACATTGGCGCTACGCGGGTCACGCTAGCGGACCGCTTGCACTCTGGGAAATCCCACAATTCGTAAGTTTAAATTTAGTGTAAACGTAACCGCCAGTGTAAAAGCGTAAGTCAAACTGATGTGTGTTAGGTCACCATTGTCCGACGCTGCCTATATGGATCGTCCTTGTCCAACATGGCAGTTAACGTGTTAAATATATTTATTTAGCAAGTAGGGGATTGTTTAAGTATCTACAGATAAAAATTTATCCTATACATAAATTTTAATGATCTTTCGAGGGAAGTGAGTAATTCGTTTTTCATAGATTCTAAAAAAACACTATAACAGTTGATAGACTGTTGTTTTAACAGTGTGATGTAT